AAGGTGGGACCCCCTACCCTTGAACTGGGGGGGCTCGGGGTGTTCCTGTATACCTCTGGGGACCCTTCCCACCCCAGGGCTTGATGGGGGGATGGGGGTCAAGAAGCCCACGACTGTCTCCTGGTGTCCCTGCTGGCTGAGGGGGAGGGGCTTGGTCCCTTACTCCGGGGATCTTCTCTGGCTCTGGGGGGTAAGGGGGGGTGTCTCCTTGTGACCTCCGGGGGGAGTCCCCTTTGTCTGCAGGGGCTGTTAGGCTCTGTCTGCTGCCCCACAACCCAGGGGTGGGGGGGGTCCTATCTGTTGGGAAATGGCAGGGAGGGCAGATGTCCCCAGGGTGTTGGTGGGGGTTCCCAAGTGCCCCTGGGGGGGGTGACCACCCTTGCCTGCCCCGCCTCCACCTCGGGTGTCCCCAGTGGCTCCAGGGGATGGGGGATATATGGAGGGGGGGGTGTGTCTACCCTGGAGATTGGGAGCGTCTCTGCTTGTCCTGGCTGCTGGAGGCCTCCAAGTGTCCTCCTCCTTGGGTTGGAGGAGTATGTGGGAGCTGGAGGCCACCGTCTCCCCTGGGAGGCGGATGAGGATGATGAAGGTGGTGAGGAGGGCTTCCTGGAAGGTGTTCCAGGTGGAGGTGCTGTGCAACGGCCGTCGGCACACGGTGACCAAGCGCTACAGCGAGTTCCAGGTGCTGCACAAGCAGGTGAGACCTCCCTGCCCCCAGCACCACGAGGTGGGGACACCGAACTCCTCCTCCTTCTCCATGGTCCGTGATGTCCCCCCACATCCTCCCCTAGATCAAGAAGACCTGCAAGGTTCCTGACTTCCCCCCGCGCCGTGTCCCCAACTGGTTGCCCAAAGCGCTGGAGCAGCGGCGACAGGCTCTGGAGCTCTACCTCCAGGTGAGGTCCTGGCCAGTGGTGGCTTTTTGGAGGGTGGGGTTTTTTTGGGGTGCTGACCCCCACACACCTTCTCTCCACATCAGGGTGTCCTGTGCTACAACAAGGAGCTGCCTCAAGATGTCCTGGACTTCCTGAAGGTGCGGCGTGGCCAGCAGGACACCGAGGCCGGTGGCCTGCCGTGAGTAGCTGTTCAGTGGACGGTGGGGTCTACTGGGTGGGGGCGGG